CTGTGTACCTAGGATCAAAATCTATCAATGCCTCAATTCAAGGTCGAGGACCTGCCTATAGATTGTAAAACTGATAAGATCACATCTCTATTCTAATCATTATGTATTAATAAAGGTATAATGACTTAAAATATAAAAGTCGGTCGTGCTGAAAGGTTTAAAAATTAGTGGCCCCTAGGTACAATAACCTTTTTTTAATTGTACCTTGCTATTGTACCTCAGGCCACTCTCTGAAAATTAAGTTTACTTAATTTAGTTTAATAAATACGTAACTAAGTCAGAAACATAAATTCCATTTAAAGTTTTTTTTAACTTTAGATATATTTTTAACAAATTTATTTAGTGTTACTTAAAATTTCCAACATTAAAAAAATGTTTATTGTTCTGAGCAAAAATGAAGTGAAGATAATAAGAGTAAAATGGTAATCCTAAAACTACAGCGAAAAAAAAACGCTCTGTACTGATAAAAGTTCAATAATTTGCCTTGTGACTAAACAAATCCTATATCAGAGAAACACACATATGGCCCTAGGTAAACGCAAGTTATATGGCCCTAGATATAAGACTTAACTTGAGTTTATTTTAAATGACGTTTTTCATAAGATGGCCTTATTAAAAATGTCTTCTATTAACAAACCCGGATTGAGAGGAAATTTATTGAACATCGCGTTTAATACTTAAATAAAAAATAGTATAATATACAAGAATTTATAGATATGAATTTTTTTAGGATTGTAAAACAATGTAAAATACCATCAGCAATACTCTACTAAAAACCATCAAAAAGCGTTTTCCGATTAACCTGCCGTGGAAAAGCAGGTTATAAAACTTTTTAATTTTTGAACATTTTTGACATTTAATATTTTTACAAAATGCAGTTTACATAATAATATCGAATCTTTTTAACCTCTACTAAAGCGATTTTTTTTTAACTGACATTTTCGATTAAATAACAGCAACATCTTGTTTTAAAAATCCTGGACTTTTAAACCGTTACCTTAAGTCATTTTAATTAATAAAAGAATTTCTATAAATGTATCTTAAAGTTTAAACCAACTTAGCATAATTAGAAAAAAAGTATGTTAAAACAACAACATTACTTAAATTAAGATACTAAAATTTAAAAGCCACCTTTTTTTGGTTTTACTTTTTATCTCCTCAATATTTAACTAGCAATATTTTAAGCAATAGTTAAGTATTGAAGTAGCAGCAATATATATGAAAATATCGCGTCCATCGGAATTATCACATCAACAGAAAACGTTGCAAAACGTTTTTGAATGAAATTTTTTCAGAATGCTGTGCATAACTCAGTTATTAAGTTACCTGAAGAAACATTTGTTTTGGGCTCCATTTCCACCCATGAAGCTTTATTTGCTTCTTGGTGTTGTTAACCACCTCTACAAGAGTGGGAAAATGCACCAGAGTGGTTAAAAATGATGAATTTTTAACAAAAATTTTTTCACGAAGGGCTACTTTCTGGCAAATTTGAACAAAATTTGATATGTCGGCCTGCTTTAACAACTTGCGGAAAACCTTGCTTATTTTTTAACATTTCCATTTATTGACACATTCAGAAAGTTTGATGCAGTTGTTCATGCCTCCAGTGAAAATGTTCCTCAAGACAACTATTGCATCTTCATTGAAGAATTTAAGAGTTTCTACCTTAAGCTTTAAAACACGAGTGTCACTCCCATAGCGCATGCTATTTTATTTCATGTAACACAGTTTATTGATCACCACCACCATTCACTAGGCATCTATTGATAGCAAGCAACAGAATCACTTCATTACGACTTCAGCCATCACTGGCAACGGTTCAAAAATATAATAATCATCCGGACCACCACATGAATCTTCTAAACTACTAAGAATCTTCTAAACTGTTTGATTGATTAAAACAGCAAGCACTCTTTATAACTTCTTTGTAGAGAATACTGTATTATAACATATGATTTTTAAGTTGTAATTACCCTTCAACATCAATTTTTATCAATCATATTTAGTAAGAGTAATCCAAAACGGTGTAATCTTACACCTTTTAATTAAGAGTGTAGTAATAAGAGTAATCCTTTTTTTCACTTGATCTGTTAAGCAAGAATCTGATTTTTTTTTTTTAATTTTCTAAAGATATTGAATACTTTTTTTATTTGTTTATGTTTCTAAGTTGTTAGTATATTGCTTATTTATAGAATAAATATGTTAGAACAAGTTTCAAATGTTTTAATAGAAAATGTAACTTATTTGTTCAGAGCTATAAAATCAAAAATTCAAATCAATTTTTTTTTCACGGACAATGATGAAAGATTTCAATAGCAACTCAAATGTACTCCTACATACTTATACTATCATGCTCCTTTAGGGTTTTCTCGGGAAAAGAGGTTCTAATTAAAAGTCATTTCGTGACACAGTGGTTATATATCGAAAAGTCATTACAACTATATCTACAATATGATTGCATAGATGACATTTAGATTTTGGAGCTTCACAATTTAGTTTTGCCCCAGAGCCCCGAGCCAGCTTGTTGCGAATATATAGTAGACAGAGAGTAAACAAAAAACAGGTAATAATTATAATTGTAAATATTATTGTTATTAAATGAACACACAAAAAAAAAAGGTTGAAAAAATAAATTGAATGAAAAGATATAAGGTGCTTAAGATTTTTAACGCGACTAATTTCGACTTTCGACTAGTCAACTTTTAATCGATGTAGTCGAAGTCGATAACAACACCAGTCAAGATACATGGGGTCACTGCAAAAAATCATTTGATAGAATTTATTGCTTATGAATAGGCTAAAATCACACAGGCAGATTGTGAAAAATTAGTTGGTTATATAAAACAAAGAATTGCATAGGGGATAAAGGCCAAAGGTGGTGCAACCAAATATTAAATTATTTATAAATTGTTTATAAAATAAATGCTTTTATTAAAAAACTCGTTTATTTCACTCTAAATTCAAACTTTGATGAATATTTTCAAAATTGTGGAGGTGGATTTAAACTTATAACCACTGCTGTATTTAAGCACGATTCAACCAAATGTGACGCTAGGTTGACAAAGATAAACTTTAAAATAAATTAAAAAAGCTTATCTGTACTACCTAGATAGCTTCAGTAGAAGTCACGCATTCCCTCACTAACGAGAATAATTTGCTTCAATTTTGCTTTAAATTCTTTGTTTCAAGATTACTAAGTTTTTTTATAGAATTTTTTTCCATACTTTTGGTCCTCTAATAGATATTACATACAGTTGCGGCACAAAATTTTTAGGTTAAATACTATTGTTTTTTGAGAATCTAAGTATCTATGCTTATTCATCATAAATTAAAAATATAAAGCGTTGTTTTTGCATTAACTTTATTATATAAAAATTAAAAGATAACGTAACGTAAAAATTAAGAGATAAGGTAAAGTCAGATTACTACGGTGGATTTTTTGTTTAGAGTTCAATTTTATAGAGTTACGTAACAAAAGAATTGCAACCTATTGAACTCATTAATTAAAAATAATTAACAAAATAACTAGTGGCTCTCTGCCTGAGAGATATTTCATCAACATTATTTTATTAAATCGAAAACAAACCAAAGTTATTAGGCCGGGTGAATAAAAATGAGCAATTGCTTCTTTTCAGTAATTGGTCAGCTTTACGTAAATAAAAACTTTAGAAATTTTGCCAAAGTTTTTATTAGCGTAAAACTGAACAACTACTAAGTAAATTGCTTAACTTAACGTGAATAAAAGTTTGAGCAAAACTTCTAAAGTTTTTACTCACGTAAAGCTGACCAAATACTGAGTAAAAGCAATTGCTCATTTTTATTCACCTGGCCTATTAAATCGATAGCCATTTTTTACCCAAGAGCAAAAGCAACTTTTATTTTAAAATTATTTTAATATGACAACATTATTATTACTTATTTGAGTTATCCAAATGAGAAAATCTAAGGTTGCCAAAAATTTTACAAACTTTTTACAAATTTTACAACTTTTTACAAACTTTTACAAATTTTACAAACCCAGCAAAGTATTTACAATTTATCTTTTTTAATCTTTTAAATATTTGCGACACAAAAACTGTACAGTTTTAAAAACAATAAAATAATTCAAAATACTTTATTTAATTAGGAACGTGAAAAACATTTGTTTGTTGTTATGTTAACTTACGTTAGATGAAAATTGTAAAATATCTATCGTTATTTTCTTGAATTTTTATTTATTTAATAAGTAAAGTATTTGACCATTGTTAAATTGAACATGTTAAATAAATTTCCACACTAATAATAATTCGGATAATGCAAACAAATTCATAGTTAAACGAATATTTTAAAATGATCATGCGGCAATGTAAAAAACCTTAGGGTGGAATGCAAGAGGCAAAGTTCGACTTGAACCTAACTTTGTAACCAATAGCGGCAGAGTATTTTTTAACGGAAAAACCCATACTCTGTCGCTATTGGTTGCAATGTAAAGTTCAAGTAGAATTTTACTCAAGTTCGCTTCTTGCATTCCAACTTTAATTTTCCAGGGCCGACGACACGGGTTTCGAATTGGCGAGGCACAATCTTCAAAGAGCCCCTAGCTTAAACCTCGGTGTTATTAGCCAGGCTTTCAGAATCATTAACATGACTTCAATTTATGATTTTTTTTTATAATTGTTTAAGGTGCCCCAAGAACACTAACGGTCTTGTAACAGAACACCGCAGTAAAGAATTTAACTAGGAAGTTTACGCCTCCTTCCTTACCGATGTTGCGAAATAATCCCAGAGGTCGCTTTGAATTCCGCAAGCAAGCGCTCTAACCACGACGCCACGGCTGCAAAGAGTTTTAGTAATAGGGGCATATTTTTAATAAACTTTTATGTGTCTTTAATACTTATTTATTAAAAGTTAAAAAAAAAAAATAATTATATTATTTGACTACTTTTTTATTTTCCACCGTGAAATCGCCCATTTAGAAAAGAACAATTGCGTCAGTTGATGTAAAACACGGGAAATTTTGTTTAATTAACAATAAGTTTTAAATGAAGTTTACATTAAATAATGTTTCATTTTTGTTGAATCTTAAATTCTAATTTCAAATTTAACTTTTTATTAAGAAACTAAAGATACCATTCTAAAAGTAAAATAATATAAAAAGATAAGATTTTTTCAAATGTTTTTTTAATTCAATATCAACCATGTTTTACAACTAACAAACAAGTTTCACAGATTAGTTTAACGAACTATAGAATGAACCGTAAACGTCAACGCAAACAGTTCCAGAATTATCTCCTTCTGTTAGATCAATAAGATCCTCGCCATTCCAAATCGTAATTTGTTTTCCAGCTTTTAAGTAAACAGGGTAACTCAAATCGGTAAAAACTACTTCGTTGTCGTTCGCAGTAAATCCACGGTATTGAAAATTTCTATAAGCGTCATAAATAATTGCTTGATTTGGAGATGGAAAAATAGTTTGTCGCTTTTCGTCGCAAACAAAGATATTAAATAAGTCGCCGTTAACGCAGCCAAATTTGCTCCCGGGGAGTGATGGGTGGCATTTCAAAATGCCACTAACATGTACAAGCTTAGCTGCGACTAACCAGCCTGATTTATTTACAGGAACAACGGCTGGTTGATTATCTTTTGCCTGAAAACAAGCATTTTTTTTCAACAACACCCAATTCAAATCTAAAAATATATTTTTAGCTAAGAATTAAATAATACTTAATGTAATAAGAATCGTTTATGCAAAGCATTTTAAATTTATAAACTTTAATGTTTATTTTGTTTATTAATACCATTTATAAATACCATCATACGCTCATAGTGTTTTGGACTGCATCAACTTACATTTGTTACTCTGTCGCGTGAGTTGCAAAACACTTACTTTTTCAAAATTATTCTAAAATCCTGCCAAAAAAGGTTGCTGGTAGCTATAATTTTAAATGGTTATTTTTAGTTCAAAAAAAAAATATCTCATTACTTTTATTACAGTAACACTTGTTATAATGTCCTAAGCATAAAACTCTGAGTTCTTTTTATTTATTTTTAGATTTAAAAAATTTATAATTTGCACACTCTATAATAATTGAATAAATTGTTATGCTTAAAAAGGTATTTATAATAAATGCACATAAAAAATTTATAATAAATGCACATAAAAGATATCACTTATATTTTATTAAAAAAAGAAAACCCTTACTGTAGGTACATGCTACAGTTTCCATCATCATAAGTACGCATGCATAAACAATTAACTTCATTTTTTCTTAAAGGATTCTTTCTTTTCTTTATAAAGAAACCAGTGAAAGAAATCAATAAACGCAGACATATTTGACAAATAAAAGATATATAAAAAAATAGAATAAAACAACTAAATACGTATTAATACATATAAACAATAAAAATATAAAAACAGGCTCGCAGAACACACACACACGCGCACAACGCATGCTCGCATTTATTTTAGTAAATCAAATAAAAATTAAACAAAAACCACGTTCTAAAAAAACTTTTAAAAAACTTATTAAAGTTTCATAAAAGCCATTGGTTCTGATTTGTATATAAAGAACTAATGAGTAGTTAAAATATAATGCATAAATAAACTTATAAAACAACATAAGATATATTCGTAAATTTTGAATTTGTAGAATACTGCTTAATAACATGATGAAATCGGCTCGCTTGCATTTCTAATACAGAAAAGAAAAAATACGTGAAACAGCAATTTATAAATTTTTTAGGGATCGTTTATAAATTACGTAACGCTAACCTTAATTTAAAAATAAAAGTAGGAGATCATTTGCTCTTTTGCGCGGCGATTTTCATTGAACTTAAACCTCTATTTTGAATTTTGGTTTAATTAAAGACTCTGTGAAGGAAAAACATTGGAACTTTTTTGTTTAGTTTATTAATTTAATGAAAGCGTTGCGTAATTTATAGACGATCCCTTGCATATTTTACGGAACTTTGAGATTTTAGAGAGATATTGAAGTGTAATTAAGTGTGTTGAGGTATTATTTGACATAAAAAGAGCCAGTCATTAAAAAATAAAAAAATTAATTTTTATCTTAAAAAAATCAAATCCCACTTAAAATTTGTTAAATTTTTGTGGTACTTAATTTTAAAGAATTCTTATATGATGTGAATTTTTGTTAAACATAAATCAATGCCATTTTGCAAGGTCAATCTAAATGCATTAAAATTTACGTTTTGTGACTAACTATCATTATTATATATATATATATATATATATATATATATATATATATATATATATATATATATATATATATATATATATATATATATATATATATATATGTATATATATATATATATATATATATATATATATATATATATATATATATATATATATATATATATATATACATATATATATATATATATATATATATATATATATATATATATATATATATATATATATATATATATATATATATATATGTATATATATATATATATAAACAGAAACACTTTCATTAATATACATTTGCAAAAAATAAACATTAAAGGTAAATCTAAAAAACTTTATTAAGATAGTCAGAACACATAAAATTATCAATTTTACTCTGAAAAAGAACTTCAAATGTTAAAAATTAACTATCGAATACTGCAAATGTATAAAAAAATATTGCAATGCGGTAATATAATAAAAGATTCTATAGCATTTTTAAAGACTTGTCGAGATGCTGTTTTAGATATTAGTATAATTATGAAGAAATTTCTAGGATTGACTTTTCTAGAGTTTCCAGTTGTAGTGAACCTTCTGCCCAGCCAGAAATTCATATTGGGCCCCACATGGGGCTAAAATGGGTAGTTTAATGGGACCCAAATGGGTTGCCCACATCCAGCCCAAGAAAAGTTATTGCTGGGCCTGAATTGGGGGCCCAAGTGGGCAACCTAAATGGACTGCATATGTGGGACCCACTTTTTTATTTATTTAAATTTTTTATAATATTTTAAATAATTATTTATTTATAAATTAGCTACGTATAACCTAATATGTAGTCATAATTATATGATTTTATAGTTTAGCTGTGACTTTTTTGTTTAAGTTCTCTTTAATGTTTAAAGAAATGATTTTCAAATACAATTTAAAACTCTTTTAGTACCTCTAATACATGACATTATTAGCATTGCTGCGGAGTTTTTAAAATGATTTGACTTTAAACAAAAAGAAAATTTTTCAAAAAAGATTATTTTTATTCATGGACCAAGTCTTTAAATAAACATGCGGCTAAGTTGACTTAAGAAAAAATATTTTTAATGATTTTTTACGATTAATAATGCCTCACTATCGCGTGATCGGATGGCTCTAAATTTAAAAAAACAAGATGGAATTAAACTACTCTAAGCAGCCGTGGCGCAGTGGTAGCGCACTTGCCTCAGAAACGTAAGATCCGTGGTTCAAACTCCACCTCTGGGCAAGTTTTGCGACATCGGTTGGGAAGGAGGCGTGAACTTCCTAATAAATGTTCTTCCGCGGTGCTCTGTGATAAGACCGTAAGGACTTCTTGGGGCACCTTAATCAACTTAAAAAATAAAAAAAACTACATATATGGGCCCTAAATGGGACCCATGTAGGCTAGCCCATGAATACAAAATATATAAATATTTTGTATTCAAGGGCTAGCCCTCATGGGGTCCATTTTTGGCCCATATATAAAGCCCACATAGGGCCCATATAAAATCCATATGGGCCTCAATAGGACATGTTCGCTGGGTGAGAACGTTCACTATTACAGCAAAATCTTATAAGCGCCTGTTTTAATTCAATTTTAGAAAATACATTTAAAACAATATAACATTTATATAAAGTTAAGTTAACTTCATATGATCTTGCATATAAAATTCACTTAGCAACAATGGAAGAACATAAGAAGAATTTTTGTCAAAAACGTTTAGTATTTAGTAAAGAATATTTGTAATTTATTGTCACACGATGACGTTTTTTAATGGTATTTTGAATGAGTTTTTCATCTTGGTATTTAGGGAATACTTAATTTACATGTTTTACTTACGGATAATTGCCGGTTTTGTTTATTTATATTGAAATACGTGAAACGTAAAAAATGATATGCCTTAGTCAGTTGAAAGCAACGAACAGAATATTAAATTCAAGACATTTTATTTGATCTTAATTTTTTAGTCAGAACAAAAAGTTAATTGACTAGTAACAACACTCAAAAATTTCAAATAAAAATCATCTTGGTAAATGACAAAAATCTTAATAAAATTGATAAAGCAAATATTATGAATTTATCAATTAGTAACATAGAAATGTTATGTTACATCCGCTATGTTGTTATTAACATTTATTTTTAATCTGTTTATCTTTAAACTACTAAATTACTCACAAACTTAATAAAGTTATGATCAAGAATTTGTGTTTAAATAATCGTTATTAATATATGTTTAATATATTAAAAGAGGAGGTCAACGAAAAAAAAGCATACGTACTTTATGGACGACTCCTTTTGTGCAAAACCACTTATAAAATCTTTTAAATAAATGTTTTAAAATCATGATTATTTGCTGTTACTATTTAGTTATACACTTCTGGTCTTTTTTATACAAGAACTTTTGCGTTTTATCGGTTCTTAGTGATAGAGTTTCTATTTAAACACTGATTCCGACCTTGTGAGTTCTTCACGTCTGCAAACCTTAAACTGTAAGAGTTAAGCAAACTGAGGTTTATTGGTATAGATGGATTTTAGTGTACATAAAACAACTGATTATATTAGCTATAGGTGCAGTGATTATACATGTACCGACTGGAGGGTTTGAATAGGGTTGTCTTGAAATCAAAAATACTAATAAAATCATTATTTTAGTCATATAAACCTTTTTATTTATTTATTTAAAGAGTTGTAACATTGTAAATAAAGTTCCATATATTATTTGCCACTATCTTACTTAAATAATGTAATGTTTCTTTAGTTTTGATTATATTAAAATTAATATAAGCAGCTATAAATATAGAAGTATAAAGCAAAAAAAAATTTATAGCGAAAATGTTTATAAATGATTCTATCAATGAAATGTATTTATTTCTGTTTTATTAATACAGGAAGAAACTCTACTAAAAAGATGATACTTAATTAGTTTTTGTTAGAGTATGGAAAAAAGAATCTTCAAAACGAAAATCAACGATGAAAACAACAAGAACAATAATTTTTGATACTGGTTTTATTTACGGAATGTTGTCTATTTCTCATATATTTTGTTTTGATTAGCTTATGTGATTTATAATTAAAGTATGATTTTTCTTGCTGTCCCGACTCGTAATATACGGGTATTAGTTTATCAGTTCCACACCAACCTTTCCTTTACTTATTTTTTACTTTAATATTTTTTAGTAAGCAGCAGAAAAATAACTATATACATATAGAAAAAACTATACTTATGATTCACTTTTTAAAGGAAAAAAGCTTCATTTCAATTAACTTTAAACGTTTCGGTTGCCGTTGCACAAAACGCTACTAATCAAAGGATTGAATATTAGTATCTGTCTAAACAATACTTAGGATACCCGCTTGAAATGTGTTAAAGAATTTCCATCGGTTTAAAAAATTTCAAAAAACATGAGATGACTTAAAAATGTCAAATAACGGACATACCATGACCCGTATACTGGTCATGATTAATAGTTTTGCTTTATTTCAATAAATTTAAAAAACAGCAAAATATAAAAATCTTTGTTTTGAGTTAACGATTAATGTTCAATACTTTGTACTTCTATGAAAAACAGAAGAAAAAAAAAACAGGGAGGGATCTAATTAGTTTTTTCTTTAATAAGTTTCTTTTTTTTTTCAGACCGCTTGCAGCATTTTAGGACTTTTGCTCCGTTAATATTGAAGAAAGTTAAAGCTTGCATGTAAAATCTTTTTCTATAAGAAAGAAATTTGTCTCTATAATGCGCGTTAAACGCGCAGGCTTAACTAATTACTTAAGCACAGCAATAACGTAAGTATGTCTATCATGACGTCGCAAAGGGTGTTTTCATGTTTTTGGAAAATTTAAAAAACTTTTAAAAAATTTCTTTTCCTTTTGTTTGTTATAGTATGTAACATCTTTATATATGTTATGCATATAATATCCATAGGCTTTATAAAATGTTTTACTTTGTATTCTAAAAAATTAGGAAAGATTAAAAAAAAAAGTTAAGCTTGTAAACAAGAGAATTTGAACCCACACAAAGCACTTTAACTAATTTGACATGGTTTATTTTCTTTTAAAACTGTTTAATAAACCAACGACTTTTTAAACTTTATAAAACGGCATATAAATGCTATAAATCAATATAAATTAGAGGTATACCGGAT